ATCAGAATCAGAGGCCATATTAGGTGTTACAGATTATCTCCTGTGATCCACGTTTTACTGGTCAGTCTGGAGGTCTTCACATACCGGGTTTGGTTCGCCGAGTTCCTTAGAAATGGAGGATAAGCTGAGATTTCATGGCTCGCTTTTTTTTTTCAAAAAATATTATATAATTTTATTCAATAAATATTACAAGTAATTTTTCAAAAAATTACTTGTAATATTTATTTTTTACCACTGATTCGGATAAAATCCTCTGTCTTGGGAAGAACCGCGAGGTACGAGTTGTACAACGTATAAACATACATACAAACTTATTTAAGAAAAAACTTGGAAACGATCACCTCATTCCCAGGGATCATTATTATCAACCATGCATTTATTTATATTATATAAACCCATTTTATACAGTTTTTGTTTAATAAAATATTTAAACTTGGTAATAAAGAGACCTTATATATTTTCTGGTACTTTATTATAAAAAGCGTATACCTACATTGCTCCATGATTGAATTACTGACTCTGTGGTGTCGAGAAACAGGTATCACTCACTTGTTAGTTCCTGCTGCTTACAGAGTGACAAATTATTCTCTGTCTTGGAGTAAGGTTGTGGAACTCATCATCCTAGTCGATTAAAAGTGCTCAATCGTTAAATGTGTACAAGAAACAAGTGGAATACTATTTTTCTCTCTAACCTCTCTCTCTCTCTTCCTTTTATTTATGCTCATTGACCACCCTAAATTTTGTTTTTTTTAGTGCATAAGTTGATATCCTTTCTTATTTCAGTGCACCCTAAAAAAGAAATGTTGGTAAAAGGTTGTTTGGAAGATTGCTATGTAGCAATAAGGCCACCTTTTGTTTTTCCGTAAGATATTTGTTTATTTTTGTGATTTTTTTCCTTGTGTACAATAAAAGTATTGATTGATTGAGTCTATATAATTTTTAATAATATTACTTTTGTTTTTGTGAACATACATTAAATTTCCGTAAATATACGCAGAGGCCAAGGCTTTATTTATTACATTCTTCTCTCGGTATTATTACGTAAATCGCTCTTATGGTCCTCTTCTGCAAAACGTAAATAGTTTTTAAATTAGCTAAATTAAAAGTAATCTAGCTGTCTCGACACCAGCGACACCTCTAATCTTTTTACAGCATAAGCTACAGAGCCTTATTCTACTTAGTTCAGATATATGGAGTTTGTGTCGAGAGTGATTCCAATAAAACAGTAGATTCACAGGGCTCAGTTCTTCCCCATTTTATCATCATCATTATTACAGCATTCTACAAGTCTACTGCTTAATATAGGCCTCCCCCAAGGAATGTCACAAAGCACGGTCCTGAGCCACCTGCATTTATCGACTTCCTGCATATCTTACCAGGTCGTAACTCCATCTAGTTCTTCCCCATTTAAAAACACGTTCATTTTTTTACAATCGGTGTCGTAAATAATTAATAATATAATACAATATTCCTGACACAGGCGAAATACGCGCTTTAGGCGAATGCTACACGCGTGATATTTATCACGATCTGGAACGCGATCTGGAATGACGTATCGCGATCCATATCGACACACCCTACACGTTCATTACGGATCATGTCAGTATTGGGCACAAAACTGTTAAATGCAGACATATCTAAAAATGAAGCGAAATGTAGAAAAAGCTTTTTTTAATAGGATAGGGTGACAAACGAGCACACAGTCCACCTGATACAAATATCTTAGGGAAAAACAAAAGGCGGCCTTATTGCTACATAGCAATCTTCCAAACAAGTGGTTGTAGCCTGTACACATCTACATCTATCCTCGATTACGAATCAGAATGCAGATGCGTTGTCACCCGTGAGGACTAAGATGGAATGCCTCGTTTCCAGTAAAAAGGGTCTCCAGTTCTTTACACTCACCATACGCAACACAACAGCATTAAGCTACTTGTGGCCGTGGAAGGAAAAGGGGAGATCTCCCGCCGGGCAAGGTGTTCTGCCCGGGGAGCGGCCAACACTCCATGTGATAATTCGGAGATGTTCTATATATACTGTTTATGATTCGGAATGTTGATAGCGCGATTTAGGCTTCGGTGTGTTTTTCGCTTGTGGCGGCGACGGCAGCGCCGCTACATCACCCCCCTGCTCAGACCGGAGGTCGTTAGTGCAGCCTTGTTGCCGAGGAATGTGCAAGTGCCAGTGGATTGCCTTGTAGTCTGCGGTGAGTCGAGAAGAAGGCAAGTAATCTGCGAGAGTGCCGTGAAGCAGAGGCGAGCAGTAAGGCTCAGAGCCGTGCCGAACACTGTATAGCGCAGAGAGTAGCTTGAAGGAACAGGAAGCATTATTATTCCAATGCTGCGATGAACCTTGTGAAGCTAGATGGCTTGCAGGATATGAAGACTGCAGACGATATCTGCCCGGGAGCGAATGGGTGGGGTATTTATGACGATGATGAAAGCTTGAAGTTTCCGAAGGTTGTTGGTTGCATGTTCAGATCACGTCGGGGTCACCACTGTGGCCGTGGAAGGAAAAGGGGAGATCTCCCGCCGGGCAAGGTGTTCTGCCCGGGGAGCGGCCAACACTCCATGTGATAATTCGGAGATGTTCTATATATACTGTTTATGATTCGGAATGTTGATAGCGCGATTTAGGCTTCGGTGTGTTTTTCGCTTGTGGCGGCGACGGCAGCGCCGCTACATACTATTTTACGCTGGTATTCTGTGAGAGCGTAGTCCTTCCCCGGTCTAGCCGACCCATTCCTGCTACAACTATACTACTAATATAACTGCGGCATGGCTCTACCCCATATAAAAGCTTGCTTAAAGCTTGTGTGTATATATAATAATATTAAAAAGGAGAGTGTCGATTTTAATGATTTTTTTCTAACATCTTCTATTGAAGAGTCAATTTTAATTTTTTTATAAATTTGTAGTAATTTCTGAAGTGCCTTTATGTGCTTACGATTGTTTTTAAAACCATCACACGATGTGTCCCATAATATGGGTGTTGTTTCCAATCATAATATAAAAGCATGTAAATATTTTTGATTGATTGTAGATAGTCCCGTCGAAATCGTCAAAAGTCGTCCTCTTCCATCGCTTCTCCAAAGCAGACTGACGCGATCCGTATCGCAGCAACACTACACGCGAAATATTTATCACGATCCTTGGATCGCGATATGGATTTTCGGAAATCTAGAAATTCTGTGATCCGTATCGCGATCCATCAATAATTGATACTACACGTTCAATAAATATCACGATCCTGGATCGCGATCCAAGGATCGTGGTAAATATCACGCGTGTAGCATTCGCCTTACAACGCAAGAGTTGTTGAAACATACATAACGTAATGTTGGGATGCGAATATAACTCCAGAGAGAACAGAAGCACTTATTTTAAATTTCATAATATTCATAATGTTGCCAGTTAATGAGGCCAGTAAAGACCGCGGCCGAGTCAGTATTGAATTGGGGATTCAAGCGAATACTTCGAAGCGATATAACTGCGAACTAAAGTGTTAAGTGTGATTCATCATCAGTGTGTTTTAAGTTGTAATTGGTGTTCGGGAATTATAGTTTCAATTTTGGTAATTCAATCGGCAGTTTTTACTGTCACGAACCTCAAGCTCGTAACAATTGGTGTCCGAAATTCGAACCCGATAGAAAAAGGAAATTGATAATTGCAATTTTAAGTACTGATTTACCTCCGCATGGCCGTGAAAGTCAACATCGCGAGGAAACCTTCTGTTTAGTAAGCTGCCAAAAATATTTCGGGGACATGTGAAGTTTTTGTTGTCAGAAAGACATTGTTGCCATCCATCTCCTTTTACATTTCCCTATGTTGCTTCTTGCACCACTCCCGAGATTATATGGAACAGTGGATTCTCTTGCGCCGCCCCTACCCGGCTATTGGCGAATCATGATACCGTACTGATTGGGATAAACAAACTAAATAAATAAAAAAACAGTTATCAGAAGTAATCAATGTTTATTAAAACATCTTGATTATGACAAAAACTAACAGCGTCGATTTATTTTAAAAATGAAAAAACCTTGTTACTATAACATTTCCAAACGCTATATTAGGTAGTCATCATTCATTATTTTGTTTTATACAATACTTTCTTCCTAGCTACAAAGAAAAAATATTCTGCTCAAGTGTACTATTTTTAGTCTTGCAATATAACAAAACAAATATATATAAGAATAAACTTTTCTTGTTGGAATATTTATGATAAAATTATTATTTGTATATTACAGAAAACCTGTATAATCCTTATTATAATTTAACAAAAAAGCATGTATAATACGTGTCAATAAGTCGTGATGGAATATCTTTGTTTAATTACAATACTAAGATCTATAAAAATTCATCTACGTTAGCACTGCAGTCGATAAAGGATTCGTGAAATATAAAATATTCGCTGAAATTACACAAGTATATTTCTTAAAAACGAGGCTGTAGAAAAATATTTTTAAATGACAAATCTATAGCAAATGATAAGTAAGTTTGAGAAACATCGATGAATAAAAGCTGTGATAAAAAAGTTCATGCACGCATGTGACTATCGACATAGGCGAGACAGTTAATATAAAATAGAAAAATAGCCTTAGCATTTGCTACATAAAAGAGGTGAATATGTCATTAGCATTAATTAACTAAACATAATAAAAATATACTTATTAAAATATAAAAAAAGATAAAATAAAAATAAAAGTACAGCGACGCTAAATTAATTACCTACTACATTAAAAATGTAAATGGAAAATATAAGAATAGAATATGTTGTCCAGGAACACAAAGGTGGAATCCTAGAGCTCGTAACAAAATTCACTTAATTGTTGGATCATTCTATAGGTGTATTTATTTTACTTAACTATTCAATTCCTAGACTAAGCGAATATTACGCTGGCCGCAAGCGTTCCGTCTAAACGTTATTTATATCATTATGTCCGGTTTGGCGGCACGTTGATTCGTCTCGCGTCAGGGTATCCTTGAGTCAGTTGGGACGAGTCAATTATCTCCACTCGTACTATTGCACCCTGCACTTGGCTGCGATTCCTGTAATAAATATATGTGGTTATCAACATTCTTACCAAATCGATAGCTTCAAAATTTTATATAAATATATAATATATAATAATTGCATAAGAGAAGAAATTGGCACTTAAAAATTAAACTTCTAATAAATTATACAAGAAAGAAAAAATATTAAAATAATTTTCACGCAATAGGTTCTGAAGTTATAGATTATATTGTATTTAATATTCTAAATATTAGTATTTTTGTACTTTTATCATGTTAAAACATCATCATTTACGGAGCTATATTCGCATCGACTCGCAGGAACATCGATTTGCGCTCTCTAGACTGTTGCCCAGAAGTTTGTTTTTAACATTTAGGTGTTCTCCGCGCTATAAGCGGGAAACCAGATCCATGTGTCGCGAGCTGTGACTTAATTTTGATGTCGAAGATTATGCCGATTTAGTTAGTTCCTTTTCTCCGGAATGCGAAAAAAACTAAACTGTCGAAGGTCAAGGTTTTTCTCGTGAAAAAAGAGCGCTCTAACTGGCAATCACTCAATCATAACTTCAAGAAATACCATATACCATCAAAGAAAATTTGGGTTCTACCGCATCAAACTCCTCGGTTGGGTGTACAAAGCAAGGTTTTTTATATAGGAGTAATGGCCACAAATATGTAAGTGGATATTGAAGCTCAAGGACACATCTATCCTCGAATAAGAATAACAAGGCAAACGCGGTGTCACTTCTAGAAACCAAAATGAAATGTCTTGTCACTATACGAAGCACCACTTTGCTGATATTCTGTGCACGCGTCATCATTCTCAAGTCAAGTCGACTTATTTGTGTAGCAGCTATAAATACACTACAGCGTGGACCCGCCACATGCTATGTTGTGAATCATGCAATTACCTTAACACTTAACTTCACTAAACAACAAAAAAATGCGAGGAAGACAACACCGATTCTTTCAGCACCATAACCAATAACGAACTATACCGTACTGTTTACACCGATTCCCGCTCCTGGTCATTCAAGATCATTTCAGGATTTATGCCCAGGAGACACAGTAAGGGAAAAAAAGAAAGAAAAACTGCGTTTGGATTAAAAGCTACTTCACTGACTAACATATAAGAAAATTATTTCTAAATGAGGTAGCTTTCCTGGTCCTAGTAATACTTGTTTTTTTTTTACTTTTCACGCCCCGACCAAACACCGAAATGGCATTTCGTGGAGTACGAATACCAACACAGAAGAGAAAATGAATGAATGAATGAATGAAATATACTTTATTGTACATCAGAAATACATAAGATAGAAAAAAAAACATAAATTATTTAAAGGTACAATTGGCGGCCTTATCGTTTAGAAGCGATCTCTACCAAGCAACCATTGCAGAGGATAAAGTGATCTGTGAGAAAGGGTAAAGGTGTACGTAAGTTATTGAAAAATACACACGACATAAAATGAAATTAAAAAATACAGACATACATATACGACAGCAGAAAGAATTAAACAAGTAAGTGTAATCAAAGCCTTAAGAAAAAATATATAGCTAGTGTTTTTTTTTTAGAGGAATAACTATTAAAAGAGGAAAGAAGTGCGCTTTGACAAGTTTTTTAAACTTTTCAATAGACTGCGCACTTCTAATGTGCATAGCCTAACAGCTTCAACAGAAAAGAATTTAGACTAGAAGGAAGTGTTATGGGATGGGATTTTTAGGGTGAGGTTTTTTCAGAGCGGAGAGCGGCAGTGAGTGTCACCAAGAAACTCAAACCGCTCTTTAAGGTAAGCAGGGGAAGTGGGATTAAATAGAATACAGTATAAAAGAGAAAGAATGTGAGTATTCCGACGAAGACGAATTGGAAGCCATTTGAGTTATTCGCGATATTCGGAAATATGGTCATATTTTCAAAGTCCAAATATGAACCGTATGCAAAGGTTTTGAATGCGCTCAAGTAGCTACTCATTTAAATTGGGATAACATGTATCAGCATAATCTAGAATCGGTAAGAGGAGTGATTGTGCAAGCGTAATTAAAATAGTAGGTATAGGAAGGAAATCGCTTAATCTACGAAGAGATCCGACCGACACAAACACCCTCCTACTCACCTCACTTACCTGCGGAGTCCAAGATAAAAATTTGTCAAAAGTAACACCTAGATTTTTAACGGTGTCACTATATGACACAGGTGTCCCATCAAAAACAATACCAGGTAGAGAAGAAAAATCTATATGAGTAACCAATTTTTGACTGCCTATTATTATTGTTTTTGTTTTTGATGGATTTACTTTAAGATCATGTGATTTACTACAATCCACAATTAAGTTAAGATCTTTGTTTAATAAGCCTATAGTATTGGGTAAATCCATCAATTTGGCATGAACATATACTTGGAGATCATCTGCATAAAAGTGGTAGCGAGAAGATAATTGGAGCATAATCGAACTTATGAAGATTGAAAAGAGAAGAGGAGACAACACGCCACCTTGCGGTACACCGGCATTAATCGTACACCAGTTGGAGAATGAGTCATCAACACGTGTCTGTTGCCGGCAACCAAACAAGTAACTATGAAACCAGTCAATCATTTCAGGAGATATGTCAAGGAAGCTAAGATCGCTAACAGTAGTAACAGTAGATCGAAATCCACATTGATAAATGCATTGCTAAAGTCAAGTAATGTCAACACTGTTACTTGCTGTTCATCAATACTACGACGAATATCCTCTGTAATCTTGACTAAGGCAGTAGTCGTACTATGACCACCAAGGAAACCGGATTGAAAGAAACATTCAAAAACTTTTGAAAGGAATGGAATTATAAGAAAAAAGAAAGAATTTGGGTATAGGAGTAATCTGGGCTTCTTTCCAAGAAGAGGGAAAATTTCTGGACGAAATGGAATAATTAAAGATGGATTTTATAACAGGAGTCAAGATATCGATAATAGAAATAATCATTTTACGACTAATGCGGCTTGTACCAATGGCATCAGAATTGACCTCAACAATGCTTTTCTTAACATCACTATCAGTGATTTGACTAAAAATAAAAGCAGGATTGTCAGGTTTGGGTAAAGCTGAAACTTGAGATTCAGTTTGTATTTTTGTAACATCATCTACGGCACAAGAAGAAGAGAAATACTGATTTAGCTGGTTTAAGTCAGTATTTTTTGGGTTACTATTTTGATTCGCTTTCCCAACTCCAAGAGACAAGAAATTTCCAGACTCTGCCGGAATCATCTTTATTGAGTATAGATTTATGAATATAGCGTCGTTGTTTATGTCTACACAACCTGTTGCAGTGATTCCGAATTTTTTATATTTATCTCTATTGGTATCTGACTTACGCGAGTACGAAAGCTATCCAACTGCAGAGCGGTGTAAGAAAGGGTGACGTTATTTCCCCGAAACTCTTCACCGCTGCATTGGAAGACGTTTTCAAGCTACTGGACTGGAAATGATACGGTATTAACATCAATGGCGAGTACATCACTCACCTTCGATTTGCCGACGATATAGTCCTTATGGCAGAATCGCTGGAGGACTTAAGCACTATGCTCAATGACCTCAATAGTGCCTCTTAACGGATAGGTCTTAAGATGAACATGGACAAAACAAAGATCATGTTTAATGTCCATGTCACACCTATGCCGGTAGTTGTTGGGAGCACTAAGCTCGAAGTTGTTCACGAGTACGTTTACCTGGGACAAGTCGTCCGACTAGGTAAGTCCAACTTCGACCGAGAGGTCAATCGACGGATTCAACTCGGCTGGGCAGCGTTCGGGAAATTACGACACATCTTCTCGTCAGGTATACCTCAAACTCTAAAAACGAGACTGTACGACCAGTGCGTGTTATCAGTGATGACATATGGAACTGAGACGTGGTCCTTCACTGCTGGCCGTATGAGGACGCTCAAAGTCGCTCAGCGAGCTATGGAGAGGGCTATGCTCGGAGTTTCTCTGCGTGATAAACTTAGAAATGAGGATATCCACAGTAGAACCAGAGTGACCGACATAGCCCAACGGATTAGTAAGCTGAAGTGGCAATGGGCCGGCCATATAGCTCGAGGAACCGACAACCATTGGGGATAAAAGGTTCTCGAGTGGCAGCCTCGTACCGGTATACAAAGTGTAGGGCGACCCCCCACTAGATGGAGTGACGACCTAGTAAGACATGCAGGAAGTCGATGGATGCAGGTGGCTCAGGACCGTGCTTTGTGGCATACCTTGGGGGAGGCCTATGTTCAGCAGTGGACTTGTGAAGGGCTGTAATGATGATGATGATGATGGTATCTGAGTTATGAAATGTATACCTAGCATTAGCAGAATTTTTGTTACGCTGTAAAATTTTGATCTCCTGAGTAAGCCAGGGAGCAGGTAAATAAGCCGGACCGGCCGAATTGGAGAATGAACGTTGTAAAGTTGTGTTAAAAGAGAATTAAAGCTATCGACCCTTTCATCGATGTTAGCTCCAGTAAGAACAACATTCCAGTCAATCATCGCAGCATCATCTCTTAGACGATCTAAATCCATACCATCAAACTTACGCAGCAGAAGGATTCTAGATTTAGGTTTAGGTGGCATTTGTATGATAAGCAAATCAAGTCATGACATGAAAATGCATCAGCATGACACTGACCATGCTTATCAACATGATCGATGGAATAAACAAGAATAAGATCCAGAAGAGATGGGGAACAATTTAGAAAAGAGTGAGTAACAGAAAGGGTGAAGTAAAGTTAATAACATTGAATAACTTCGCGCCTTTAGAAATAGATCGGTAGCAAGTGCGAAAGCCCGAAACAAAATAGAATAAAACGGAGGAGCAAGAGAACACTTAGAACGGCGAATCGGCAGCGCCGTCAGATCCCAAGCCTGGGCATAATTATCAATACTTACCGTAGAGGCAGTTTCGTCACAGCTGATGCCCGCCCACTGTACGAAGGAGGGCAGGTCCCTTGTAGGTAGCTCAGCGGCTAATGCTTTAACGCGTAAGTTACGGTCGTCAGTTAGCAAAACCACTTCGCATACTTGACGTACGCATTTGGATGATTCTCCGCTTTCATCTTGGTTATCTGTAACATGTGAATACCTGTAAATTTTATAGCACTGCTACGTTGAGCGTTGACCCTACAAAAAATAATACTTATTATATTAGATGTAGGTATAAAATATACCAAAATTTAGCTTTTCTATTTGAAGTAGAAACGTCAAGTACTACTTTTGTTTATATTAAGTTATATTAAATGTTTATAAGTACCAGTTAAAACGTTAAGTAAGTACCAGTTACTCGACTCTACAAAGTCAGTAATTCGTTCTCAAGGCTATGTATACGCTTTTACAACAAAATCCCTGAAAATATACAAAATTTGTTCACAGACAAGCTCAATAACTTTATTAAAAAAGATTGTTTAAAAAGAGATATACTAATATAAAGGAACTTATGGATGATAATAACCCCTTGGAATGAGGTGATCAATACCAACTTATTGCTACCTAACAAGTTTTGTGTAACTAATTTTATAACATAATAGGTAAGTACATAATTTGTAAACTGTTCCTTTTCAAAAAAAATACCGCTGAGTATCTTGCTTTGCTGGTTCTTCCCAGTTTTCCACACCAGTGGTAATATAACACAAGAATAACTTTCAATAAGTATTATTTATAATCTATATATAATAATAGTTTCTACACCAGTTTAACCCGTCAGTAGCGCAAGAATACCCACTACTCCATATCTTCCAGTGGGTGTCGTAAGTGACTACAGAGGGAATCTGAGTCAGAAGATGGTCAGCAGCATCTTTCTGATAACAGCAACAGCAAACAGCAATAAAAAACTGCGGTAGTCAATCCGCTCGCCAAGCGTGACAACTATGGCAAAATCCCCCTCCCCCGAGCAACGACACAAATAAACGGCCCCCAGTCCTCGGCAGCCCCGCTATTCCTGGCTACTGTGGCAACCATGGTAACGGCGGGGCAGGGGGATTAAGAATCTCCGGTGGAGGTTCGGCTGTCACCTAAGACGACTCGACCTGGCAACATATAACGCACGCACCCTGAGGACTGATGTGAAGATCCTGGAGGTGGAAGAAGGGATAGACAAGTTGCGCTGGGATATTATAGGATCATCTGAGGTCCGAAGAGAGGGGGAGGACACGGTAATCCTCGAATCCGGCAACTTGTTCTATCCCCAGGAGGGCGACCATCTGTCCTAAGGAGATGTCGGAGTTATCGTCCACAAGTCTCTCGTTAACAACGTCGTAAAGAATGGGAGTGTGTCGACGAGGGTTGCGTATCTTATACTCAGAATCAACAAACGGTATTCGCTAAAGGTCATACAGGCTCCGGCACCAACCTCGACACATCTCGATGAGGAGGTGGAGGAAATATATGAGGATATCTCTAGAGACATTCATTCCTCCAAAATCCACTATACAGTGTTGATGGGAGACTTCAACGCAAAACTAGGCACAAAAGAGAACGGTCAGCTGAAAGTAGAAAAATTCGAAATAGGGCAACGAAACCCAAGGGGCCAGTAGCTGCCTGACTTTATGGAGAAAAAGGGACTCATAATGGTGAACTCTTTCTCCCAAAAGCGGCCCCACAGAAAGTGGACCTGGTCGAACACCGACAGTTCGACAAAACATGAGATTGATTATGGCGACCAGACGACAACTGTTCAGTGATGTCTCAGTGATCGCAAGGGTGAAGACTGACAGCGATCACCGAATGGTGAGAGGCACACTGAACCTAAACGTGAATTTGGTGAGGTCACGTCTAATGAAGTCAACGCTGCTCCGTCCCCTTCGTGCTCTAATCCAAAGTCCCGAAAACTGTCAGCTTGAGTTAGAAAATCGTTTTCAGTGTCTAGAAAACTGCAATGAAGGGGACGATATAAAAAAAGGCTTGTCAAAAGTCTTGTGGAAACTGTCCATGCGGTCCGAGCCAAGAGATGAAGTTGCTTGACACTTCTCGTTGACTTTTATAAGTGGTAGAGCCACGCTACAGCTATATTACTATAGTTGTAGCACGAATGGGTCGCCTCGACCAGGGCAGGACAACGCTCTCACAGAACACCAGCGTAAAATAGCAGCGTAATGTGTTCAGATTAGAGAAAATGAAGAACCTTATATTATTTCAGGAATATAGAATTAAAAAAAAACTAATAATAGAAGACAGGATTCCAAAGATGCAAAACATGCGTTAACTTACTTTTAAATAATGTGAACAGCCCTATTCAAAAGAAAAAAAGACATTAAAAAAAACTTTTTTTTAAATACTAGCCATGCATTATTAATATTCCCTTACGCCACTTATCTTACTAATTATTCTCTGTTTCTGTGTTGGGCCTATGCGCCTGTTGTAAATTTCACAGTACGTGAGCAAGTCGGGTTCTATCTCCCTGTCGCCAATGAAATTATTATTTACAATTTAAAGTTTTTATTTGTGAGAAAACTTGCATGTCTGAGAAATAAAAATTATATTTTGAAAATATGATGTGAAGTATGGCAACACGCATGAGATGAGAAGAGAGGCATAATATGTCTAACAATTGGGCGTTTAGAATAGAATAGAATGGAATAATTTTTATTTAACATGGATTACAAGAATACCCATTGAAAATCATTTATATTTTAGAACTAGTTCGTAAATTACACCCCTGTCCTGTGAAGGGCCATCAAAAATTCAGCGGGAGTTTTTTTAAACATTTATTTACAATACACGAGGGGCGTTCAAAGTATTATCGGTATGGGTATGTTAGAAAAAAGATAAAATTATGAAATATTCTTTATTTTTCAATATAGTCCCCCATGACATTAATACATTTACTTGTTCGTGAATAAAGCTTTTCCATTCCCTTGAAAAATTATTCTTCATCTTGGCCTGAAAAATGCTCATTTACAGCGGATTTGACGTCGTTATCGTCAGCAAATCGCTTTCCCCGAAGGTCTTTTTTAAGTTTGGGAATAATAAGTAGTCACTAGGGGCAAGATCTAGGCTGTATGGTGGGTGGTTAATTTCCTCAAACCCACAGTCTCGTAAAACAGTCTTAGATACCCACTCTTCACAGCATTTTCTTGGTCAGCTTTTCCCTCCTCTTTTCTTTAATTGATTTTCTCAAACGGCGTAAAGTGGCTGAGTAGTTAATGGTTTCACCTTTTTTTGTGTATTCGATCAATGGTATTTCTTTGGAATCCCAAAACACTGTGGCCATGATTTTAATGGCCGATGAAATGACTTAGAACTTCTTGGGGGGGTCTAATCCCAACATCAATCAGGTAGTGTCGTTAGCTAATGGTTTTTTAACTATCCACATTTTTAGCAAATCATCCTAATACCGAGAAAACATTGAACGACCCTCGTAATGTAATAAAAATCAAACATGAAAACATTTAAGACGGTATTGAGACACAATCTCGTATTTAAACTCAATGTTGAATCGTGGGGTCCAATATGACCTACGCTTACATTTGACTTTGAGAAATTTGAGTTTAAGCTCGATATCGTCTCTGAATATGGTAATGTGTAAGTATACGGACCGGCGCGTGTGTCTGCGGGGTTGGCGAGGTTGGCGTGCAACGCGAGCGCGGTGGCGAGCACGCGGTCGTCGTTGCATGCGCGCGGGCGGTCGCGCTCGGCGGTGAAGGCGCGTGAGGCGAGCAGCGAGCCGCGCGCCGTGGCCAGGCGCACGCCGCGCGCCGCCGCTAGCCAGTCGCGCGCCGCGCCCGCCGCTACGCCCGCACGAGCGCTGCGTCGCAGCCCCTCCAGCTCCGCCACCACTGCACCACCACCACACGCAAAACTCATTCATATTGCCCAACAAAGACCACTCGCACCCACGTGACTACATCAAACATTCTATGTACGAGGGCGACACTGAAAGTTTTTAGAACTGTCCACTTGTAAAAGATATAATAAAAAAAAGTTCAAATTTTGAAAATGGAACTCTTTGGCAATATTATTGTGTATGTATTTTATTAATTTGTCATCTGTTTACGATTTGGCGGCAAATTGAAAATTGTCTCTGTCACGTCAGCATGAATTTAACGCGAGAAAATTTTCGTACAATGATTTTTTATGACTTTCCATGTCATAGGTCGACAAAAAAATTATAATAAACTTCGACTGGCCTTTCACGATGAAGTTCCATCTCGTGCCACTTTACAACTTGTTTAATAAGTTTAAACTTGTCGCACTTGGCCTTCTACGACGACGACTGAAGATAACATCAGTGGTGTGGGATCGACAAACAGTTACTGCACAGCGGAACACTAACAATTGTTTGCCACTTGTCTTGGGAAAAGTTCGGGAGAAATGACCTCACAGTTGGATACTCCTTCACCACGACAACGCCAAGCAAACAATCGACTACTTGGCGATGTCAGACGTAGAATTAATGGGTCACCCGCCCTATAGCCCCGACCTCGTACCCTGCGATTTTTATTTATTTCCGAAAATAAAATAAAACTCCGAGAAAAACATTTTATGGACGCCGAGGAAGCAATGGCTGCGTTTCAAAATGCGGTCGAATAGAACCCTAAAGACGAGTGGGCAAAGTGCTTTTCTCAGTGGTCTGGATGCAGCGATGTATTGATTTAAATGGAGACTATTTTGAAAATATATAATAAAACTAATAACTTGCTAGTTTATTCAGTTTTTGATTTTCTAAGAACTTTCAGTGTCACCCCCGTATATACTACTAGTAGACCAGCTTATCCATAACAAAAACTGTAGCATAGCTAAGAAACGCGCGGGCGCCGCGCCGGCTGGGCGGCCAGCTTGTACGGTAAATATGTCACGCAGTTGTATTGCCATTTACTACTGTTACCGTTTAAAGCAAATACGAAATAACGTATCTGAAATAAACTAAAATCACGTTGACAAATTGCGCACATAAATAATGACAGTGTTTTCTTATGTCGCCTCTACACGTTGGCCAATACAGTGGCGAATGTAGTGGCGAATATATTGGCCGAGAGTTGGTGACGGCGTCCACACGTTGGAAGGTCGTTCAGTTTACTTCGGTTCGGGCCAATGTGCGGACGAACGACGGCTCCGTGGCGCAGTGGCTTAGCAATGAGTAGCTGTGCCGGGGGCCGCGGGTTTGAATCCCGCACGGAACATGTATTTGTATATCCTACAAATAATTGTTTGGGGTCTGGATGTGTGTCCTTGTGCAATTTATGTTTGCAAGCTGCCTCCGCGATACAGGAGAAAATCCAAGTGTGGGGGTTACGTTTTTATAAAATAATTATAAAAGAATAGTCGATATTAATGGGGCTGTAAATAGAAATACGATAAACGATTAGCTTTATTTATTCTTTACATGCATCATAAACTGGAATAAATGCCATTAATAAGAACTTAACTTATTTTAAAGTTAAAGGAGTTATAATCGATTATTCTGTGTATTAAAATTGGGTTTTGATTTTAAAGTTTAGCAAAATATGTACTTGCATTTCTATCAGACATTTGATGTATATAAAAACACCTTATAATTTATTTGGTAATTTAATTATTTTTTGAAAAAGACAAAAACAATAGCAATAAATATAATTAACACTGACTTAATAATAGGTACTAATTATAACTTAGAACATAAATGAAAAACTCATGACAAAGAAAGTGGCTCAGGACCATGCTTTGTCTGTCTGTGGAGGAAGATGTTCAGTAGTGGACTTGTGAAGAGCTGTAATGATGATGATGATTCGAAAACTTGCACGAATGAATTATAAGAAGTCGACGTTTTTTTTTATAGGATAGAGTGACAAACGAGCACACAGCTCACCTGACGGTAAGTGGTTACTGTGGCCCACAGACATCTACATCTATCCTCGATTACGAATCAAAATGCATAAGCGTTCTCACCCGTGAGGACTAAGATGAAATGCCTCGTTTCCTTTAAAAAGGGTTTCTGGTACACTCACTATACGAAACACAGCATCATTAAGCTACTATTTTACGCTAATATTCTGTGAGAGCGTGGTCCTTCCCCGGTTAAGCCGACCCATTCGTGCTACAACTATACTTCTAATATAACTGCATAGTTCTACTACGTATAAACGACGTGCTTCATTTTTTTTTCATTTTAAAATTGTTCTCGTAATAATCTGATTGTAAATAAATGTTCGTTATTTTTTTTGATATATAGTTAATCGATTAAAACAAATGTTAAAAATTAATTAAGTCGCGCTAATTAAAGTAGTAGGAATGTTTAAAGTTGAAATTGGCACTAAAAAGGCTGGTAATTGGGGCAACCATCCTACAAAGCTTGAATATAAAATTTAAATCAGATGCGTGTAATCACTCTGGGAGCTTGTAGCAAACTAAACGCGCGGCCAACGTGTGGACGCGGCGACCAAAGTCTGCCAACAATCCTTTGATCTTTTGTAAAAAACCGACACCACACGGATATCGCGCCAACTTGTGGGCCATCGTCCCAATACATACCAATGAAGCCCAAACACCCCGTCTACACGTTGGCCAATGCTATTGGCCACTACATTCGCCACTGTGTTGGCCAACGTGTAGAGGCGCCGTTAGCCACGTTAAACAAAATCAGTTTTAGGTTGTCGAAAATATATAGGTGCGCAGTGTAGCCCGTCTAGTAGTACATATAAAGTTTTTGGATTGCACTATTATTTTTATAGAATAAGAATGACAAACGAGCACACAGTTCACCTGATGGTTACTGAATGCTGTGACCCATATACATTTTCATTTCCTTTTGAGCGTCACGCCAAAAACGCATTACCGTGTCCTGTACGCCAAAGCCAAAAATAAACAAAAATACCTACGAAAAAAATTGTGTTGCCAAGAGTTGATAGATCGATAACACAAAATAGCTCGATTTTGTTGGTTTTCATGCAATAAATGACTCTTTATAATCTGGTATGCTTCATTTAATCTTGTGCTGTCCTTCCACTCTTTTTATATATGTACTTTGTACATAAATAAAAACAAACAATAACAATAAAATAGTAGTCAACCACAACACTACTCTTCATCGTGATGACGTCACTGTGACGACTGGACGACAACGGCATAGCTGACCTTCCTCTTTGAAACTTTCTTAGAGATGTAGCCGTGTCGCACGTTGTGTATCGATTTCAAAATCGATCTAACCAAAATATACAGAGATCGACTCAAAATATTTTATGTGTCGGGGGAGGCGTAGGCCAAGTGAAGCACATAAGAAAAGTCTTACGCTCTTATGACAATGGGGGTTTGATATGATGCTGATGCTACCAGATGATTTTGAGATAATCATAATCATAATCTTTATGGCAATCAAATGGTAACAATACATGTGATGTTTTTAAAAAAAATAGTCCGCATTTGAACCCAGTTTGGGCGTAGCAATTATAAAAATATTAAATATTATTTTTAAACTATACAATATTAGATTTCATTAATAAATTACATTATTGGATTATATAATTTTAAAATTCTGTAGATTTAATTAAATTCATAATCACAATGTCAAGTAAAAAAAATAATTATTATTACAAATAAAAATAAAATTAAGTAAAAAATAATTATTGAATAAACAAATTTAATTAAATTATATAGGCACAGGCCGAAGTTGTCCACACAAATTAAATAATATTTGTATTAAAATATTCATATAAATTATAGAAACATTTTTCAATTAAATATAACTTTAATTTGGATAAAAATAATATAGTACTTGTAAAATTTTTTATGTCATTCGGAAGGTTATTAAAAATTTTAACTGTCATATAGTAGGGACTAGAGCTATGCTAGCAAGAGTAGATTTCGGTAGTAGTAACCTATTTTTATTTGGTCTAATTGAGTATTTGTAATTTGTTTCACTTAATTTGGTAAATAGTTCTGGGTGGTTTTTTACAAATTTTTATATTTCCAAAATATAAATAGACGTTAAAGTCAAAATTTTAAACTTTTTGAAGTGGGGCTTACAACTTTCTGGAATTTTTATGTTTGTCAAGATTTTTATAATTTTTTTTGCATTATATATAATTGCTGTGGATCTTTACTTTTTCCCCACAACATGACACCGTTTATTTCTCGTAATACGTAAGTGAATTTTGATAGTCTATTTTTTACTTTATTTATATCGGCTTTCCAGTTTATATGGCAGTCGATTTCCAGGCCTAACAAGTTTAAGTTGTCAACAGTTCCTATAGGTATATTATTATAAGTAACAGCGATATTTAGTCGTGATTTTTGAATGTTGATTGATTTTGGTTTTATTAAAATTAATCTCTAGGTTGTGATGTGTCAGCCAATTTGTAACCTGGTTCAATACTTGATTCAATTTATTATTTAAATTCTCGTCTTTTATATGCGGAATAAGAATGGAAATGTCATCAGCAAACATAATAGAGGTTTCAGTCAATACCCTACATTGAGAAAGAAAATCGCACAATACAAAATGTAAAATTGCTCTTCATACCTTAAGAAAAAATAAACATTTATTATTTGTAATTTTATATTATTAAAATAAAAAAATTCATCATCATCGAGGCTCTCCAAAATGCGAATGAATTCTGAGGAATCGTTCATGTTGCACTGCACTACTTTTTCCGCTATTCGTTTATGACGTCATCAGGGTGTAGTCTATCCTTGACCACGGCGCCCAATGAACTGATAATCGATGACGCGCTAAGGATGCGCCAGAGATATTAGATTTATTATGCGAAGTTGATTTGATCAAAACTTCTTTTATTTATGTAGCTGATGCTAGTTTTACGTTTCTTACCTTTTGTTTTATTCAAATATCAATAATAATTTTAAAAAAATAACACGTTTGCGTTTAATTTTGA